TTCGAAAGGTTACTTACCCAGGTTACACGAGTTTTTGGATTGTGAAGCGACTGAGTCGCCGTTTTCTAGTCATCACATTAGGGAAAATGATATTTATGTATAACTATATTATTATTGAAAGGAAACTCCTAAAAACAACAACGTTGAAAATCGGGTGCTCTGTAACGCTACACCTTGCGTTCTAGAGAATGGATCTGAGCCGTTAGTTAAGTCAGCATATTGTTGAAAGGAAGTAAAAATACCGGTGACTGGATTTGCAGTGTTCTGAGGTCTCATAGGCGGCATACCAATATTTGTGGTTCTTTGAAGCTGGCCATTAGCATTTTGTGGTCCACTAATATTCTGTGGTCTTTGTAGCTGGCCATTATTATTTTGTAGTTGGACGCCAATAATTTGATTTGTGAATTGATTCATAATTATAAAGCTTTTAGAAATTTTTGGAGAAGTCGAAAAGCTAAGTTTATATATATATGTGGCAGATTAAAATGAAATCAGATTAAATTGAAATGAGCGATGGTGTCAAATAAACAAGTCACCGAATACACAAATTTATGGGGTGCTTTTTTTAGCATTTTTTTAGGGTTAGTATTAGGTAGGTTTTGGAGGAGAATTTATAATAAACAAGTATAAATAGGTCAAATAGAAACCCCGGCGACATTAATTGTAACCCAAGGTTGATCTCTCAGTTAAAAATTCTTCAATTTAATTTCTCAAGTAAATATATTATGTTTCCATGTACTTACGTAATGAGTTAATTACATACATATATATATTCACATAATTTATTAAGTTTATTATCTGCTATTTTACAATATACTACATAAATTACGATTTATGACAGCATTTTATACGACCGGAGGTAGCACTAACTGGTCGTAATCTATTACTTAAATTCAGCTGCACCACTGCTGTAGACTTAGCGTCAATGGCACAGGTGAATTCCATAATTTGCAATTTGCACTGAGGTACTAATCTAAAGGAATGAAATGACGAAAAGAAGAGCAATGAACCAATTTAAGAAAACTATCTAATAGGCTGAAGCAAAATTTAAATAGTAAAGAATTTATCATCTGCATAACGATTACTTGATAAATTTGTCAAACTCAACATATCTAGCGCCTCAAATAATTAATGACTTACCAGGTTACTCTTTGAATGAATCTATTAAAATTTTGTGCGACATAGAAAACCGCAATTGATTCCTTACAAAAGCGCAACAGGAGGAAGCGTCAATGTTGCACAACTAATCCCACACCGCATATAAAAAAATTATTTTACAATGCAAGATCATTCCGCTAGTTCATATTACGATTATAATCCCTTACCTACTGGATTATAATCCAACGGTGAGGGAATGATCTAGTATTGTAAAATAATTTTTTTATATGCGGTGTGGGATTAGTTGTGCAATATCGACGGTTCTCCTGTTTCCTGGAAGTTTTATTGATTGATGTAAATCAATCACGGGTAACTATAATAATTTATATGCTTCCAAATACTTTTTAGGCCATAACATTGCACAATTTAAAGTTGTCGCAAGCACTGCTTGAAAGAGAGCTAGTTTAGTAACTCATCCGAACTTAAAATATTGCACTAAAACAAAAATGGTTCTATTGATAATTAGAAAATGAAAATTCAATCTTGTGTTGATAATAGAAGGCCGAGAGATTTAACACTTCAAATGAGATTGGTTGATGACTTAAAATATATATTCTGTTAAATATTAGTGCCATCATTAAATGGCGGGACAGATGAGTTAAGAAGTGAGAAAACATTTGTATGCAAATATGTTATTAAACTATGCAAAAGTTAACATCTATATATAGATCGTTGTTGAATGGCAGGCTATATGGTAAGAAACATGAAAAAATGTTAGAATCGTCCATTATGACCTGTTGACCTTTTTTGGCTATTCATAGGAGTACAAAAACAATCGATTTATTATCACCGTATAACGAAGTTACTTTTTATTCGTGTAATAATTAATAACTCTATTATCTTTTTGCTATGGCTATCTTTATTAAATAAACGTTTCTATTCTTTATCCTATATTTTAAATAAACAATAACGCAGTATTTACCTATCTATTATTTAATTCATACAGCCACATTTATCTAATGGGAACGCTAAATTGACATGAAAAATCAGATGTTGATTAGTATTCATTATCACGACAACATTTCGTCGATCAATTGGTTTCCATTGATTCACTTGATCATCAAATCACGTGAAATCACGAAATGACGTCATTTTTACTAGCATTAACAAATTGGCCTAAACAAAATTATCTCCTAACCCTAACACCAACCCTAACTTCTAGGCTGAGTGCTTAATCATGTGATGTGATGATCACGGAAATATCACTGAGTTCATTGTTCTTGAAACTATCCGCAAGTTTCAAATCCCCGTGACAGCTATTGTGAATGGTCGGATGCAAGACCCAGATCCGTTGCATTCCACAAATTTTAAACCTTGTAATAGACCCGGGCGTAGTACATAAATAGCCAAGAGTCTATTTCGTGTAATGTAAAAATTTAAAGCAATTCAAAAGAATTGCATTTAATTAAAAAGTTCATGATTTTATCCGGTATAATACATGGTGGGTCGCTACTAAGGGGTACTTTATTCAGCCATTTATGGTGTTGCCGTAGATGAAACGGCAAAATTATTAACTAGAAATATTTAACAATTAAATTGAGTTTTATACTACGGAAACAATGGCCCTCCTTATTTCGACAAAGTTGTCTCACCGGCAGATCATTTAAAATTTACTGAAACAGATATCAAAATGCTAACCCTAACTCTGTGATGTAAACTAAATGAATTGATTGTTGGCGAAGTGAGCAGCACTGAGTAACAATATATTGTTCACGGATAGCTTTAAAAGGAAATATTAATAATTTTCAAATCTCCGTGACGCCAATTTTTATTTTCAAATATTTAAATCAAGATTTTGTCCCCTACGGTCCACATAAAAATTTGCCAGTTTCCTTGTGTTGTAGATAATTTATTATACAAATATTTAAAATTATTCATTCCAAACCATTTATTTCTATGTTCATTTACGCTAAAATAGTCGAGCAAAATCGATGACAATCAAGTGATTGTCGTACAAAATTATGGTTCAAGAAAAAATACCAATTAACATTAAAATTATCATCTTTAAATACATTGAAAATCCATTAAATCTAATATTTACTTGTAAAGAATGGCGCAGCGTTGCAGACAATAGTGAACCGAAAGCTGAATGGATTATTAATAACTACGGAAGAGCACATGCACTTTTTCACGCTGTGCGATTTGGACCATCGTGATACTTTATTCAAAGGCTTCTCCTTCACTACGGAAATTACGATCCTAAATTAATAGAACAAAAACTCACGCATAATGTTAGACAAATAGACATTGATCGAGTTATGTCATTGCAGCAAAAAGCACGACCACCGTGGGCTAGTGACTTACAATTACCTGTTTTTGCATATTTTATGACAGTAGCACAAAACTAATTTGAGGCCAATAAACTTTGAATAAAGGGCAATGATATGGAACTTTTTCACTTTCTTTCTGCCGATTAAGGATGCTCCGGGTATTTTGCTAAAAAATATGAGCGCTATTGAAGACTTAATACTTAACAAAAAATTTATTCCATTCCCACCTAGACCTCCTAGGAAATTAATTGAACATTGCACTACACAAAATATTCCTGAAGAATATTCATCTAAAGACGGTTATGAGAATAATAGACAACTAAACGTGATCGCTCGTGCAATCTTAATTTGCAAAAATCTGGGTTTGTTATGGAAAAAAATTGGTTATTACGAATCAGCAATGACGTAAACGATTTTGTAATTCAGGGATCACTTCTCATATTTTTCATCCGAATCCACCAATTGAATGGATTCGACCAAAGGTCAAGGTTATCATTGAGCGACTTATGGAATTGATTAAACTTAAATTTCAACTAAGCTATAGTGTTACAGGAAGTATCTATTTATTTGAAGATATATTAGAAGATATTGGCCAAGCATTAATGAAATCATTTCAGTACATTAAGCAAGACACTCGAAAAAACTTCTCAGAACATTATTTGATAGAATCGTTAGAACCTAGGCATAATTAAATAAGTCTCATTATTGAAATTTTCTTTAAGCATTCATTCAAAACAATCCTGAAACTGCATTCAACAATACAATTAACTATTATTTTTTAAAAAAGAGAATATTTAACTACGTAATCTGAAATTTAAAAAAAAAAACTTACATTTTCATCAAACTTCTATGGTTGTGTTCTTAGAAAATTTGGTCCTGACACGCGTACATCCGAAGACTTTGTTTTGAAGCCATATTAAGCTCTCATTTTAGCATAGATAAAAATCTTTAACAAATTGTTAATGTAGACATACCAACTGGAATAAATCAATATGAATTTCAAGAAAATTGTAACATTTTTAAGGTTTATTGTAATACAAAATTTTTTATTTTTCATATAATCTCTCAAGGCACGAGTCAAGAAATTCTAGCACCATTATTGAACTGGCAATGCAAATTACTGATGAATATAATAATTATAGGCATATATTTACAAGTTTTACTAAGAGAAAAATAGAAAAAAAGAATGCCAAAAGAGTGGAATCAATCATTGCAACTTGAATTTTATAATACTTTCATTTTTACAATAATTTTATAAATTCTCAACCTTTGAAGTTTTGAACTTATATGACTAGTAGCAAAGCTCTCATTCTCTTAAATTTAACATATTTAAACATGCCAAATATTCAAGAAAGCAAATACTCGTAAGGACTATATGATAATGCCAAAACAGCGATGCAAAAGCTGAATATGGTTTATTAATAAATATAGATGGCGTATACCTTTTTCACGCTGAAATTAGGTCCGGAATCAATTGATACATTTGTTGTATAGGTTTTTATTGCGAAACACGCAATTATTTGGAAATATTTTATTTAAAGGTTACTTAACTCTTATGGAAGCTACGATTTAAAATTAATAGAAAATCGCGCTTAATGTTAAGCAAGTCAATGCGGAACAATTAAATCATTGCAAAAAAAGATAATCCCTAGGCAAGTGATTTGCAATTAGGCCGTTCGAAGTTGTTTCTTCGGTTAACATCACCCCCGCTGAAGTCTTCCCTCGAAAAATTAGCAACCAATCAAAACTCTCGCCAATTACTTGATTTACGTCACTCAATGAAATTGGCCCATTTTATATGTTCGTTTCATTTTACCCCTCTCCAAAGAGTTCTAAAGTTGATGTTAATCGAGGAATTAATTTCGAACGGCCTTATCGATCTCTACTTCCTAACGGCAGCATAAAGTCAATATAAAATTCATGAATTTTGCATGAAAAGGATAATATGAAACACTTTCATTTCCTTTCTGCTGGTCCACATGTGATAAGGCATTCCATAAAAAACAAAATATATGAATGTTATAGAAGACTTAATACTTCAGCCTTTTCCTCTTAGACCTCCTAGAAAATGATATATATTTTTTTATGCTTCCGATACTGTATAAAAAAACGATAATTCAGTCAAAATCTTGAGATGTGCCCAGGATTTTGGACTAACATTCAGATTTTGAAAAAAATGATGGCTATTAAAATTCTTTAATATGCATTTTGTAGGACGTTCTTAGAATAGTAATCATATAATTATAATGTATCAAATAATTAGTCTTCAAATTGATTACCAAAAACGTTTGTCATTTAGGTTTACGGTACAACAACAAAAAAAAGGGCCTTTTCCACGCCAACTCGTAATTGTAACAAAATGGCAGGTTAAAAAATTCCAATGATCTCAACCAGTGTTTCGGCCTAAACCTCCCCTCAAAGTCCGCCCAGAGGAATTTTAGTTTCGCCCAATTTGATCTGCAAAATCGGGTTTCTCCGTCTCAACTGATTTTGGATAATGCATAATGCTTTATGCTAATCTATTTAAATATAATCCCTAAATATATGGGCTTGGTGCTACAGAAAAGGGGGAAATCGACAAAACAATAGATCTTCGGAAGATCAATTTTTATGTTATAAATTTTATAATAAATCATAAGAAAATACAAACTTTAAAGAGCTATACTACAAAATTTTATTAATACAACTTCTTTCATGTTTTAAGTGAAAAACGATCCTAACATTATTCTAAATTGAGTTGTGTAAAAAAAAAAAAATTGAAAATTTGTCGATTTCCCCCTTTTCTGTAGCACCAAGCCCATATGTACATTAGGATTAATTATATCTGCGAATTTTTGATTATGCACAATAAGAGCCCTTTGATGTACCGTAAATTATCGTATATAAGATCCGGGTCCAGAAACCAGCCGAGTGTTTATATTATAAAGAGAAATTTTAAAGAACGAACACACATGCATTTATAACAAGCAATATAGGTGCTTTAAATAAAAAAAAACACATCAATTTACGGTATCTGCAATTTTAACTTGACGTATTGCGATATAGTGAGCATATACTAAAGTTTCTAAAACGTGTAACCGAATTAGAATCACCAGGATCATTTAAATGTATCTATATAAACATTAAAAAAAAAGTATAAAAACTCTATCTTTTCACCTTTCTCCAAAATTTTTTTTAAAATTTATAATTATGAACCAAACCACAAATCAAATTATTGGCGTTCAGCCACAAAATAATAATGGTCGGTTACAGAGACTTCAGAATATTGGTGGACCACGAAATGCTAATAGTCAAGTTCCAAGAATCCCAAATATTGGCATGCCGCCTCTCAGAACTCAGAATAATGTAAATTTATTCACCAGCAATTTTACTGCCGTTCAACATGACTTAATTAACGGTACAGATCCATTCACGAGAATGCAAGGTGTAGAAAATCTACCACCACAAAGCCCTCAACTTTCAGCGGTGCTATTTTTAGGAGTTTCCTTTCCATAAGTGTTATGTGTAAATCTTCTTTTTAAATTGATACTTTTTTATCACTATTTTCTTTATTATTTAAGAAGTATCATGCTTTCATATGAAATTACCTTAAAGAGTACGTAGTTAAAGTATTTCTAAATTGATATGTTATATAATATTTTTTATAGTGTCATCCTATGTAGAGCTTCTAACTAGTGACATAGATTATTAAAAATAAGTATAAAACACATATTGTCCCAATATAAATTAAATCCGGTAATTTGATAGCTCTTTAAATTTTTTTTATAAATTGTAATAAAAAAAATAAAAAATAAAGAAAGTAAATATTAGTGATGAATGGTCCGTTAAAGATTATAAACTATTTATTTAGCGATTATGCCATACTGAAAAATTCGGAAAATGCTTGGTCATGTGTTGCCATAAATAAATGATTATAAACTTTATATTGTTTGTTATAAATGCCGCTCTTTAAACTTTTCTCATTATGATATAAGACAGTAGAATCACTTGATAGAAAATATTTACCGTGGTTTGCAAAATGATGTAGTTAGATCGGGACACTTCAAAAACATGGAACCAGTGATCATCACATCACATGTGAAGTCATTCAATGGCTTCATTTGTTTACTAGCACTAAAAAATTAGCCTAAACTATCCTATCACCTAACTCTAACATTAACACTTATTTAGGCCGAACACTTAATCATGTGGAGGGAGTCAATAGAATCCAGGCAAATTGTTTTTAGTAAGTTTTTTTTTAAAACTTTAAATTAAAATATCTTAACAACTATTAGACTAAACTTGATGAAAACTTTTTTATTTTAATTCTATAACTAAATGGAATTAAAATAGAAAAATTTCTATTAAGTTTGGTTTAATAGTTGTTGAGATATTTTAATTTAAAGTCTAAAAAAAAAAAAAAATTACATAGAAACAATTTGCCTGGATTCTATTGACTCCCTGGACCCCATATATAAATCTATGACAACATTAAACACAATAAAATACCCTCCATGTGATGAGTTGACCACAAAAATCTCACTGGGTTCCTTGTTCTTGAAACTACCCGTTAGATCATTTTGCAAATCGCGATAATACAATGAAATTGTCGGGTAACAACAAATCCCGGTAATTTTCTAAAAATAGATACTTGCAACAATCAAATGTTAATCCTAACTCTATATGATTCAGCTATATGAAATGACAGCTGGTGAAGTAAGCGTACTGTGTTATATTTTATTCAATGATAACTTTAAAAGTGATAATATTAATTTCTAATCTCCATAATACCAGATTTCTATTTTCAGTTATTTCAAATCAAGATAATGTAATGTTTATTTTTGTCGCGGTCTGCAAAAATGGAGTAAGTATCTTCTGGTCGAAATTCATATATCGTAGTCTATATATAAACATGTCCGATTCCCGCCTTATTGCGCAACTGCGAAGTAATTTCTTATATCTGGTGATTGTCGTACAAAATTTGACTGTCGGTTTAAGCCATTAACCCTAGGCGCCGCACAAAAATGCGCGGCAGATCCTCGATTTTGATTGGCTAACGGCCAAGGATCTTCAAAAATTTGGCCCACATTACATAATTGTTTACCAAGAGCGACAATCGAAAAATTGGACCGGAATTATTCTTAATTTTAGGCGAGACCAATTTAATTCAGTGGTTTACGTTACCCCCCTCTCTCTCCCGCCTTCCCCCCTCACTATATACGCGGAAAATTTCGAAAAATTTTTATAATATCGCGGAGCATTTCGGAGAAAAAATTTATAATAAACTCCCTCCAGCCCCCTCCCCCTCTTTTTTTGTGATTAGGATGTAACGTAAACCACTGAATTAAATTGGTCTCGCCTTACTAATGAAATCGCAACCACCCATTAAATGAAAATTGTTCCTGGGCCAATTTTACCATTATGCAGGCTTGTTTTTTAAAATTTTCTATTTTTGAGATGAAAAAATCAAAAAGTTAATCCGGCTAGAAATTTAGCCAATCAAAATCGAGGATCTGCTGCGCGGCATCTAATGATACAAACGGAATGGCCTGGCTCGGCTCACTAGCCGATGTTTTGGCTCCAAAGGCCAGAGCCGAGCTGTTTGTGAGCTAATTAACCCCGAGCCGAGCCGAGCCACTACTCTATAAAGAACTATTGCATGTTTGCGCAGATTTTCATTTGATTTATTATTTACCATATAGGCATGTAATAACGCACATGGGCATTATTTCGAAATTTTGATTTTTTTTAAAAATGGCATATTTGACTCAAAATAATGCCAATGCGCGTCTCAAAATAATGCGCCCCTCCATATATATTAGATTATCATTCAAGAAAGTAGTTGAATTTTTTTCAAAATTAACATAATGATTCGAATTATCACGCATGTGTGTCCCGAAATAATGCGCGAATCTGTACAGAACTGCAATAAAAAAAATTTTCTGATGCTAGCAATGGTATCCAAACTATTGGGATGACCTAAATAACATCACTGACGCATTACTGCATTACCTGAACAATTAAATAAAATCATAGTAAGCATCCTTAATCGTTTACTATTGGATAATAGTCATGTGATATGAATCTATCAGCTCGCGGCTCTATTTTCAGCTTCAAGGTCTAGAAGGTCTAGAGCTGACCTGTTTTTGGAGCTGATACTTAATTAGTAGACCTGGAGCCGAGTCATTAATCGGCTTGGCTTAGCCGCTTGGCTCGCGGCTCGGCTCAAGCCGTTTACATCACTAGCGGCACCTAGATTCAAAGTTACACTTATTTGCGTGGATAATACAAACCTCTATCTAAAAAAGAAACGGACAAGCAGAGAACACAAATTTCGGGTGTTCCGACATAAAATCCAAACATGTGTGAAAGAATAAAAAATGAATAGAAAACAAAAACTAGTGTTTAAATCGACTTTTGTAGCTAATAAAAAATAACGGGATGAAATTTTAGGCCACGCAAAGTTAATTTTTCGTTTTGCATTGCATGGTTTCAGTATCAACGGTCGGCGGTCGAATTTTTTTTTTTTTTTATTCTACAGTAAGGCGAGATCAATTTAATTCAGTGGTTTACATTACATCCTACTCACAAAAAAAGGCTGGAGGGAGTTTATTATAAATTTTTACTCTGAAATGATTCGCAATATTATAAAAATTTTCTGAAATTTTCCGCTTATATAGCATGGTGGACAATCTTCGTTACACAAATCTTCCAGATATGAAATTGTGACCCAGGGCTGACTCAGAGCCAATTTCGTCCAATAAAAATGCAAGATTTTATAACATCAATTTCTTCGCTTTTTAGACTACTTATACTGTATTTTTAAACTAATTTGATTCCAACTTCAATTTACTAGAGTCAAAAGCGCGATTCGCCAATGCTTTACTTTTAACACCACAAAATTACATTGGTAAGTTAATATTTAAATTGTTATTAAATACAGTAGAACAGTAGGCTGCTTTATTTTAATTTATAACTACATGTTTAATAAGTTTACAGGCTATATACAATTAAAGAATAGCGATCTCGAAGTATATAGATTAACTCAAAACGCTACAACAAATGTGTATATGTTAGTATTTGCTGAATTGGGTCCTAAAAGAAATTTTTGTTAGAAAACATGCGCACTCTAACCGATATAACACTTCCAAAGTGTGGTGTCAAACATGTGACTTTCAAAAAAAAAGAAGGTCGATAATTGTATTAAAGAATTTCAATTTAGGGCTATAGAACATGAAAATGCAATCAAATGGATTCATTTTAAAAAATAGTGTCAGGTTTTTAGCATGAGATGCGACGGGATAAAAAAAAAATTGATTTATTTTTGTGGCGGTGATGAATGATTGATTAATTAATTATCTAACAATTATGTAATTTGACATTATATGTATTTGATTTATTTGCAAAAAAAAAAAAAAAAAATGAATAAAATATAACTTATTTTAAATATTAACTAGAACCGTGTAAAATATTTTTATTCTTAAATAAAATAAATTAATAAAATTACATTGAAAAAAAGATTAATGCTAAACATTCGCAATATTAGTATTCAAAAATTTTTCAAGAGCTGCAGGATAAGCTTGCTCCACTCTTGATAATGCTTGTTTGTCTTTCCGAAGTACTTAAATATATCATCTTCGTTTTCTATACTCTGGTCTTGTGGACTATCTTCATCGGCTTCAACAATCTCATCAAGATTCGACTTTGATTTATCTAATTTACTTAACTGTGAAAGTAAAGAAGATACATTATTTCTTTTACCTAATTTGAGAATACTTTCACAAAAAGAATATTTCCCATTCAAAATAGTGAAACAGCTCTCATGGTATCCATGACCACATGCAATAACTATGGAGCTTTTACCTGTCCCGTCACATAATAATCTGTGACAATGATCACATTTGTCATATGATGGCAAATGCTCACTGCTGAACCCTAATGGCATTTGCTTTTTGTTTACAACAAGATTCAACGATGCTAGTTTGTAAGTAATTTTTCTCCCCGGCCTTTGACAATAGAACTTTGACCTAATCTTTGGTAAACATTACCAAAGATTTCCAGAAAAACACTTGCGTCTTTTTTGTTAATAAAGTCAAATTATTTTCATCTGCATATATAGACTTTTTCTGAACTACAAGTGCATCCTCAAATGCAATGATATTCTTTCTGGCACTAATGACTTTGGCGATCTTGGAAAGCCATTGTGGAGTATCGGTAGAGGAGATCTGTCTTTGTATTATGCTAGCATATTTTCAACATGATAAGCTGTAAACTTAACTAAATGTTTTTCTAATACATTTAGTACAGGATGGTTGTTTTGACACTAATAAAATATATCAGAAAGAAAAACTAAAGGCGCTTTATTGTAATTATGCCTTTCAAACCGTAAAAAAATACACCACACCCGAAATATGCCTTCGATGTATGATTCCCAATCTCCAGACCAAAATAAAGTTGAATATATATCCAATCTGACCAGCACTGTATTGTCTAATAATTCAAATAGAAATAAGAATTTAACATCCTTACAATATTTTCTGAACTTATTTATTACTATCGGTTTAATTTTCTTCCAAGCACTTCTTACTAGCTCAAGAAGTACAAATATTCGATATGGGCTTGGTGTCTTGCTGAGCGCTTTACTTGTACTAAAGATATATTGGTACTCCATATTAAAAAAGTCCCAATAAGTTTTTAGTATAGACTCAAGTAAATTTAGCTGAATATGAAGGATGCCAATAATTGGAACGAAAGATAATACGCTATCCAATATATTATCTTTATGGTTTAATAAACGAAGAGTAATTGCGTGTCGTGTATGTACCTGCTCAGGCCAATCAGCTACAATTGGAATAACATGGTTAGTTAAATAATTAGTTAATAAAGGAGTTTTATAAACTTCTTGTAAAGCATTAATATACAAATCCATTTCTTTAAGACTAAGTTCAAAAAAATTCAAGAGAATCGTGTTTTTCATTTTACGCTATTCTTGCCATTCTTGAATACGAGAATCATATTTGTGAACAGTCATATTTTCAAGCCTCTTGTCCAAAGGCATCTCACGATAAAATTGGTCATTAAATGTTTTAGATATTCGTCTCATATAGTAGGTGTCTAAAAAATTACAACTAAGGTTAGAATCAATTAAATTTGGATTGTGAACAGATATACTATTCGGTGCGATCCGTGGAATAGCATTTGAATCAACACCGTTTAACAACAAGGTTGTCATATGTGCTACACTTGGTGTTGAACATGTATCTGGAATTCGTTTGGTGTGAATATTATGATAATTATCAACATTAAGAACTAATGCATTGTTCTTTCTAATTTCCAGATACGAAGTGATTCTATGTGGATGATTATCAGAAATAGCTGTCTTTTCTCTGTCAAGATGCCTTCATGAAATCATTATACCAGATGTGATAAGGCATCTATAGCTTCTGCAGAAACCCCCATCAAATCTACAAAAAGTGAAATATCTTTTTTAAATGCAGGTAGTTTGGAATTTTGATTACTGCAAATGATATAACATTCCACCACCAATTTTTTATCTAGCTTATCTAGATATTTATCACTTCTATTTTCGGGAAGAGATGCATTATAGATTTAATCAAAAAAACTACTTAGTCTGAAATCCTTAGTTATCATCACTTGTCACAGCCATTTAAAGCTGTAAATTGCTAGCTCTTGCTCATTTTTTCCTTGATCGAGCAGAAGCTTAGTTAAGACGTTAACGCTATTTACCCACATAAGATTGTGATCACTTTCGACTAATTCATCTTTTAAGTTCCAAAGTGGTATGGCCATACTTTGGTTCCAGCACATCAAATAACATTGATATGCTAAAGACTGATCAAATGCCTTACATTCAGCATTGTTTTTTCTTTCTAAACAAGCCATGACTTCGATTTCATTAAAGAAAAAACTTAATTGATCGTTCTTGTCTTCAGCAATTAAACGAAGTTCTGAAAATGATATAACTTCTCTCTCAAAAATAATGTTAGTCAATAAAGAAATACTTTCAGATATAAAAAGAACTTCGTCCTTTCTATGTCTTTTTAGTCCTCTCTCCCATTCTACAGCATGCTCTTTAAAAGCACTTGATCCATTTACTATAATCACATTATAACAACTAGAATATACTCATCCTTATGATCCTTATAATAAGAAGCCAAGGTTCCATTAGCTTCTGCTTTGTTCAACATGGTTTCGGTTACTTTTCTCTATTTTTCGGTTGGGGTGCCTTTGCAAATCTTCACTACGCAGCATTTGCTTGAATCGTGAGTTGAACAACCTTCTATTTTTTATAAATTACCTATAAAACTTGTCTCTAATAAAAGTTTTTAAATACTGGGATTATTTTGGATTAATTTTAATAATAGACAGATTATGCAAAGATCTTTCGCTATCTTTATTTTTGAGTAGACTTTAATTGGTAGGTTTCAAAAAATCATGAGAGTACGAAGTACTTTAGACAATATAAAAAATGAAAAAAAAATTTTAATTAAATTGACTAAGCCACCATCAATCATCACCTAATTTGAGTTTGTCCACCATGCTCGCTTATATAGTGAGGGGGAAGGTGGAAGAGGAGGGTAACGTAAACCACTGAATCAAATTGGTCTCGCTTAAATAATAGACTCATATTCACATTTAAGGTCACGCATAGTTAATTTTTCACTTTACATAACATGGAATCAGAAAATTTGGTTGGCAATTGAATTTTTTTTTATTAGTTCTATCGGACAATTTCGGAAAAATAAGGTCTCTACCAGGCGATACCGGAATAATTTATGGGGGAAATTAAATGACAAAAATAGAACAATTGGCACAATTGGAACTTAAAAAAAGAAAAAAAAATCGAAAAATTGAAAAAATGGGTCAGCGGGTAATGCAAAACGAAAAATTTACTTTGTGTGGCCTTACATATAAGAAACACCAAATTATCACTAAAGCTCACAACCATAACATCTAATCTCTATTTTTACGTAGTTTATTTACAAATTTTGATTTTTTTTGGTTCGTGTTACCCGCGCAAAATAAGTGAATCAGGTTGGGCGTCATAGGAAGACTAGAGATGGGAAAAATGCGCATTAATGCGCACGTTATATAAAACGCACATGATATCGCATGATATAATTTTTTTGATTTTATATTTTTCCTCCGGAAACATCGGATACTTGCAAAAGCTTTTCCCCCGACCTTCTCATCTTTATGTTCATTCATTTTTGTTTTCGGAATTTTTAAAAACTTCTGCATTCCTATCTCTTAATTTTGCCTGGCATTATACACTTTGGCCTAAATTAAATATAGTTTAATTTTCCTATATAAAATTTAGATGGGATAAAATGCGCATGATTCCAAATCATGCGCATGAATGCGCATTAATGCGCACGATTGAGGAATCATGCGAGCGCATGAAACCCATCTCTAAGGAGGGCATTTGTATGTTTGGCTGATGTTAATCAATTGCCCGAGTAACTTATTTATACACTTTAAAGCACTTTTTGAGAACATGACATTTCACCAATAAAAAATACATTTTTTTTTTACCTTTAGCTTCACAAGAGCGTAAACATTCACTGTGCAAAATAATCGGAAAATAATCGGGGTCACGAATAACTTCACTTAGAAAACAAAATATGTTTATTGGACCATGTCAAATTATACTGTAGAGTGAAGGTAACTGGAAATATTTTTGTTTAAAACTACTTTATTATGCTAAATTTATGTTACTTCCGTTTAATTTGAAAAGGTACAAGCTCTTTAGTAGTAGAGATAGTGAGGTCATATCTAACGACAAACAATTACGTATTCATTGTACACACTTTTAAGACATTATAATAATAATTGACTTGATTTTTAAAATCTGGCCAATTCGACTGTTCGCATCGTATGAATAGTAAAAATAATAGAATTTATTAGGAAATCAGCGTAATGTTTTAACCTCGCTTCGCTTGGTGGATTTATACTACATTTTAACGGTTATTGATTATATTCATATGAATCCAGTAATACTAACTTTTTTAAACTTTGAAATATAATTTTTTTTCTTTCTTATAATGCGTAAAAAATCCAAGTATTTAATATAAATTTATTTCACAAAAATATATACAACTAATAAATAAAAATAAAGGTTGATTAAAAGTTATAAAAAATTACACTTATTTATAAATTATGACTATGATCATTCATTAAAACTATAATAACTTTAATAACTATAATGTCTAAGCGTTGATTTCACAAATTTTATGCTTCTTGATAAAATTATTCATTTTCAGTTCTATTTCTAATTCATCAAAGATTTCTTCATATTTAAGTTTATGATAAAGAGTTTCGACACATTTTTTAACCTTATTTGACATTGAATTACCCTTCCTTATATCCTTATAAATTTTTTCAATTCTTTTATCATTGTACTTTTTTTCCTTTTTCTTTTTGTATCGGAATTTTGAAAGTGGTCGGAAGGTCAAATAAATCGGGTAAATAGAATTCAAATAAAGGGTAAAGGATGTCTTCATGTGAAACTTTTTTAAGAAGTTCTAGATATGATACTAAAAGAAATTTCGAGCATTACAATAAACTTTAAAAATGTTGCATGCTTCAATGAATTTTGCTTCAATAAATTTGTAAAGAGAAAATTCATTCGAATTTTGATAAAGATCAATGCTTATTCTAGTTTTAAAATATCATTAAATGCAAAATTTACAATTTCGGAATTTTCAATAAATTTTGAGAATCCAATTATAAAACGTTAGATTGAAAGATAAGGGCTTATAACAAGGAGCAATGGTAACAGATTTTACAGATTGAAAATATTCTATGGCATTTGTCCCGCCAATAGAATAAGATGGACTTTTCCTCTGATTATTTTCATCGCATCCATGAAAATAGATTTACTTTTATTTCCAATAATTTGCTCCAAAAAGTTTAAAACTTCAACCTTTTTGATATTCCTCTCCGATTTAATAGTTTCAACAACGATTTTTTTATAAAATTCCTCCCGGTTTTCATTTTTACGAACTGAGATGAAGGAGTTAATAATTATTTCTCCAACATTATTTAATCTGTTTTCGAAAAGTTGTAAAATATCAAGTATGACTACAGCAGTTGGATTAAAACCTAAATCGATCAATTCTTGAAGTTTTTCGACGATTTCTTTTACGGTTGGCATTACATAATCTTTAGTTGGAATCGGGGGAAATAATAATAATAAAGAACCTTTAATTACGAGGCCATTAACATCATTTACGATATCATAGTAACCAATTTCTTTCCACAAATTAACCAAATCCTTATGAATTAATATTGCCTGAGCAATGATATTCAATTGTCTATAATTTTCATATCCATCTTTTGAAGGATAGTCCTCAATAACTTTGCCTTCTTGTTGCATATTTTTAGGTCTCGGAGGAAATGGTATAAATTTCCATTTTAAGATTAACTCTTTAATCGATTCAAAATTATCCTCAAGCCTTCTCTAGCCTGATTAATTACGTATGGTCCACAAATTTGAAAATGGAAAGATTCCATATCATTTCCTTTAACAGCTAATTCAGAATAAGGTTCAGATTTATCAAATGGATTTAATAATTTTGAAGCTTCAAGCAAAATGTACGTAAATACTGCAAAAGGTATATCGCTACCCCAAGGTGCTGTATGTTTTTGTTGTGCTTTGCGAATTTTTTCAATATCGACATTCCCACATTATGTCAATTTTTTGCTCGATCAATTTTGGATAGCATTCACCGAATGAAAGTAAAAATCTTTGAACAAAGTAGATATTATTCCTCCCATTTCAATAATTTCCTGAACGACAGGTACATTAATAAAATTTGGTCCGCAACGAATTGCGTGAAACAATGCGTGCGCTTTACCGAAATGAGTAATTATCCATTTTGCTCTGGCGTCACTTTGTTTGGAAGATTGGTGCCAAACCTTAGAAACTAATATTAAATTTATCGGAAACGGTCATATTTAAAATTTTCCAAAATCATGGAATGCAGATTTTTGAAAATTTTCAGAGAGAACTTCAGAGAGAATTTATGAATCAGTATCAGAGAAAGCAGATTTTTGTCTACTTATTTCAGAGATATTTAATATAATTGAACTATTGAAAGTTGAGTCCATGTTTGCCCTATAATTATCAAACAACGTCGTTACTATAGTTGTTAGACGAAACCTCGAGGTTTCGCGCTGACGAAAGTCGAAACCTAGTTTCGACTTTCGTCAATTAAAATCTCAAATGACGAAATGTCGAAACTGTCGAAAGTAGAGTTGGTGGTGCAGGGTACTTGGCGACGCCAATGGTGCACCAGATGGCACGCCAACGCAGGCATTGTGCAGAGGTGGCGCGCCAATCATATTTAAATTTATTTTATATAAGTGAGCGTGTACGTATAATATAACATAATAAGCTTTCTAAGTAACTTTGAAGGATAGGTAGTTTTAGCTCAATAATATCAATGGTAACTTATCGCAATAAGTTAACAGTAAGAAATATAATATTAGTTAATTGAATCCGAAAGTTCCTGATGCAGACAGTGAATGAACACAAAATACGAGCGGAATTAAGCTAAAAAGGTGGGATTAATTCTCAAGTATAGGGCAACATAACTACAAGATACAGATGTCTTTGTCAGTGGTAAAACAAAGATAGATATATGAAGTTATTAGCATCAGACAATACTGTAATATATTGGTGCACAGTCAGGTGCACCACGCACCAGAAGATCTCGTTAGCATATACGTGGTGCACCACTAGAATTATAACTGTACCACTAACTCTAGTCGAAAGGTGTCGAAACTGGAGAAAGGTACCGAAACTGGCAAAAGGTGACCAAAGGTAAAGAAACTGACGAAACTACGAAGGTGACAGAACTAATAGAAGATGATGAAGCAGATAAATGTTATTGAAATAATATTAAATTACGAAAACATAAAATTATAATAATTACTAAAATTTTATTATATAATAAACAAGTGTAAGGGTTTCTACATTTTATGTTCATAAAGGGCTATATAATTTATACTTAGATTAGTTTCTTAATAAGCTTAATAATAAGTAACTTAATAAAAAAGGATTTATCAATTAAGTAAATTAGCACAAATAAGAAATTAATAATAAAAAGATTATTTTACATATTTCAGTGTTTTGATTAAAAAATAACCATTGTATATTGGCTAAATTAACTTGAATAAAAGACAAATTAGTGCAGATAATAAATCAATAAGTGGTGCATGCATTGTTTTTAGATCTTTGATTATAATTATTGCTAATTATTGTTATAATTGCCAGTTAAATTAATCTAAATAAAAAGCTTAATAAAAAGATATCCATATTGGCATTATTTCACTGACAATCACTTCATAAATATCACATTTCATGACAATTATTCATCGACAAGCTCATTTTACTAACAGTTTATTTTACTGAAGCTTTTTCACTAACAAGACTTTTTGAAATGAGCTTCAGCTGTCAGTAAAATAAGCTGTTAGTAGTGAAATGTGGTGTCTATGAGATGATTGTCAGTGATCTCAATAAAAATGTGGTCTATCAAGAAGTTGATAAGAAACATGAATTATAATATGTTATTGGCTATTAATTTTCTATAAATTTGCAGAGCAGCAAAAACATTCTTACTGCTTTATATTTTAGATTATACGTACAAATTAAAATTTAAAAATTTAAAATATTTTAAT